CCATTTTGCGAATTCTTTCCGAATTTGGCCCCGCCCACCTCGATGCAGGCTCCGCCCACAACGGGAGTGCCTCGCACATTCTTACATTAGATCACTTGATAACCATAATCCACTTTTTGGCACCATCCTTACGCAGGTGATTTAGGACTACGCAGCGACTTTTTATACTGTTCCTCAAGCCAAATGCACCTCCCGCCCACTGAGATCGGGCATACAGCAGCGCCACGAATATGGTGGACTCTTGCCAGATGTTCATCTTCGTCAGTGGACATTTCTGTGATCACCTGATCTTTTTCAAAACGAGTACCCGACCTTGTGTGAAGGCACCTCCCAAACAAAATCCTCAAGTACACCCCGCGCTGCTTAGTAGCCAAGTTATGGTGATTTTTCAGTGTCACGGGAAGCGCCGCTCATCTCAAGTGCGCCCCGCCCATTTCGGGTGTGTCTCCTCTGTTTGGTCTCTCAGGCCTTTGCTAACCTTACTGCACTGTTTCCTCATCTCGGGACTGCTCTGGAACCGAGTTATGACATTTATCAGTGACATCAAACTTCAGTGACACCTAAAGCGCTGAGATGGTGCCAAAAGTGGATTATCGTCCCCAAGTGATCAAATGTAAGGATGTGCCCGGGAAAAAGTACTTTAAGATCATCGAGGGGTTGTTAGTTGAGAAGCGCGAGGCATACGTTGTGAGCGGAGCGTGCCCCGAGGGGGTGGAGCCAATTTGAAAAAGTTCGCAAGACCCTTCCAGAGTACTCCAGACGCCGGGAAAAAGTGGTTTGAGATCACCGAGGGGTCACCAGTTCACAAGTGTGAGGCATACCCGTTGTGGGCGGGGCGTGCGTCAAGGTGAGCGGGGCCAGCCTTAAAAATTCCTCAAGCGTTTCCAGAGCACCCCAGGCACTCCAGACCTCTATGTGATACGGCCCAGCTTTGCAGGGCGTGGCTCCATCGCGCCTGCCTGCATTCGTATGATCATATGCTCGACTGATACTCGGCTTTTCTCTTATCTGTCCACTTGATCAACGCTCCTTACCACCATTCCATACAACGTGATAGCGTTGAAATTAGCAGGTATGATGTGGAATATAAACATGCTATTGGTCAAAGAATGTTGACCACCTGTTCAGGTAAAAGAAAAGCCTGATACTAGGTCGCTAATGAAATATGTGGTAGAAGGTAAGTCGATGCTATTCAACTATTACTGTTTTCGCACCACTAAGCAAGAATTTTGCTGTACAGGACCCTCCTTCAAAGAGCCGTCCTGGCACCGCCACCTCACACATCGCGATGTTGTACACTGCGTGAGTTGGCATGTAAGCTCAGCTGACCAGTACGTATCAGTGCCACCGTAACCCTGTGGTAATAATGTCGCTTTAAAGCCGAGAATTCCAGTTTGCTCCTCGCTTGTGCGCAGGTTGTTGCTCCGTCTCCGTGCTGAGCAACAACCTGCGCGTTCACTCCAATTTTTGGCATTCCCTCGAGTCGGTGCTCAGCAGAGGGGATAGGTCAAGTGTATGACGTGGCAGATCAAATATAGAGTTGACCAATTACCTTCTCCTTAGGATACTTCCTACTTATCCAAAGTTCGGAGTTTGAGCCAGAATTTTAATTCAGCCAGAAGCGGGTTCATGCGGTTTGTATACTATGACATCCATTCAGCGGAAACACCTATACTCTGTGCACGCTGAACAGTGCTGATGGCAAGCCATTACAATAAAACCCCAAATTCGTTGGAGTCTCGTCTCCAGGAGCAGTTTGAACTCCACTGCCAATATTACTCGCTCAGCTCGTAAACGATCCACTCAGCTACTCGCCACCAGGCACCTTTCGCGTTGTTGTGAGAACTGATGGAATTCGCATTAAATGGTTATGGATTCACGTTCAGGTTCGATGTGGCAGAACAAATATAGAATGGTCACTATCTAAACTTGTTCCCAATGGTGGTTCGGACGTACTTGCTCTGCTGGGTCGTTTATCTATAGCAAAGTCAGAAACTGGGTGGAGTCCTTTAGCGGTAACGAAGCAAAAGTTCCATATCAGCGGAGGGCGAACCATCTAGTTCCATTCCTCGGAGCGAAAACGCTATCACTAGGCCACGCTTGCCATTGCAACCGACCGGTCAGCTGTGCGCCCATGCCAGCACTGCAATTACAGCAAAACAGCAAACCTTTGTCGCATAGAGCTTCTTTGAGAAATCGCCGCTGCCTTCTTAATCTGCGTCTTGGCAACCGGCATTCAAGGCTCTATCGATTGCCTAGATCTGATGTTTAACGAGAAGTTCATACCATTTCTTTGTAAGTGTCCGGAAGTCTCCGAAACCAAAAAGCCCTCATATGATAAAAAATACTTCATCAGCCGGATGTGCGGTTGATATTCTCAGTCGTTTCTCCCGCTTTGCGAACAAATTGGAGCCGGCGGAAGATGCTGTTTGAATCAGTAGCTTATCCATGCTCCTAACAAGTGAAAGATGGTAGGTTGAAGTGGTCTTTTGAAATGAGATCTATACCTGTTTCCACATTGACCTATCAGAACAAATTTACGGAATTCTCTCCAAAAGGAGTATTCCCTCTTTCAGCACGAATCAAGAGCGTAAAACTTCCTCGACCGTGGCAGCGCAGCCGAATGATTACATGATTGGCCTTGCGTTTGCATGGTCGAGTATTTGAACCTTTGACGAATGTCTTTTGCATTTTTTTCGACAATGATTGGTGCCCAGTTTGAAACCATTTTGCTTGGTTCTCGTGCTTGACGATACCGCGACATAATCTTTCTGAGGATGAGACCATTTTGGACGATTCCTTCGAGAACAATTTTGATGATCAACTTCCACTTTCATTGCTTTGCCTACATTTTATAGTCTAACAAACATGGTATACTGATACTGCATGCATTTTATAACCTGGAAACAACCACGTTAGTCTAGTGCGAAGTGGTGGAAACAAGAAACGTTATCCGCTACTAGAGCTGTGGATGAAAAAAGTATAGTCAATAAGCAGTGTCACAGTTACCCAACAAATCCGGTGAAAATGTATACTTAAGCGAAGTTTCGAATTGACCTGGTTGCGCCTTAAGTTACCTCGTTGCGTCACGAATAAAAAAGGACACTTTCGAATAGGAGCACAAAATTGGAAATAGATATGCAAGATGATTGGAAGTGTGGCTCTTTCTCAAGCAAACATGCGAAATTCGTCTGTGAGTGGCAGAACCAACGGCAGAGCCGAAGTAATAGCAAGAAACCCCGATTTTAGGTAATTGAACAAACAAACAATGAACTTGGCTAATATAACAAATTAAGCTAACAGAAAGCATTTGTTGAAATGGAATGCCTGGTGGCCATCCGGTGGCCTTCTTAGGCGCTCTCCTTTGTCTTATGGTAAAGTGCTGTATTTCGAGGCTTTGATGTCTCAATCCGCGACGCTCCCTACGAACGGCGCTGCTGTGGCTTCCCATTCTCTGCAATTCATGGATTACTGCTTTCAGTTCTGCCTCTATCCTTCTGGCATCAGGCACATTATGCCTTTGTGGTTACTCTCATCGCGAGGCATGAGATCCTTGGAGGCAGTTCCGTCAACTTTGGTGCAGCACCAGCACGCTCTTTTCCCTCTGCTGCGTCTGCCCTTTCCCAAACAGAATCTACATGCACAGTGCTTGAAAGCCCGGGTGATTTGTTCGCGATCATGTGAGTCTCGGATCGTAGGACACGATACCGAATAATGCGCTGCTTTTGCACCGCAAAAGGTGCACCTGCACCATGGCTCGACACCTTCCAAATGAAGTGTGAAGCGGCGATATGGGAAAGTTTTGAAGGCAAACTTCATTAATTATATTACTTGCTTTCGTACTCCCTTCTTATCGGTTTTGGCCCATCGCACACCTTTGGAACTTGTTCCTATCGGCGCTGGGCTGTGGTTTGCAATCAGTCTAGGTCTGAGTTTCGCAGTCTTGATTGCACTTAGTGGCCTTCTTGTGAGTTATGAGAAGGTGGCTGTAACGTCTTCTCTGACAATTCCATTTCTATTCTGTGGTACTGCCTCAATCCTATCCCTGTGCCACCTATGTCGGGGTTGTACCTCATCGCTGATCAGCACAGGTTTTCCAGCTTCGGTATCAAGGCTGCGGACCTTTTCTTCCCCGCCTGCGTTTGATGTTTCTCTCGAAGAGTTGTGAGGTACTGAGTGTGCCAGGCCTAGCAGAATTTCTCTTCAGCTTGCATGGACTCTGTAAAGCTTGTATTGCTTGTGTTTCCGTGTGGATTATAGGGATACTGAAAATGGTGAATAAGAGGGTTCGTCAGGTTTGTCATCGAGCTATTTGAGAAGGAAAACAGCTTGAAGTCCTTTAGGAAATCGATTGGTCTTAGTATGCTACTTTGATCGAAGCTTGAATCGGAGTACAGCAGAGGTCACAAGTTCAGTAAGCTTTTATCTCCACGATCACCGTCCACAACTCTTCAAAAACAGTGCATACTTCCCTACCGTCTCGTATAGAACTTGCTTGATTGACTTGATTAACCTTTCTTAGAATCCTCTTTGGGAGAGAGCGTATGGGATTAAGTGACGTAAATCGATTTCTTTTTTGCTTATCTCTCGAGCTGCCGCAGGGTCGTTTTCTCCTCATACACTCCTTAAAGGTTGTTTCATCTAACGGAAATATCGGAGAGTTATCACTTTTGATTGAAGAGAACACCTCTACGTGCGAAGAATCTGCGGAGTATTTGGAGGAGGGTGTTTGTAGACTGATCAGAAACGATGTCAAGATAAATAAGCCTAGTGACCATGCAGGCGATCATAACCCCTATACTTTTTCTTCGTTGAAGTAATAACCGACAGCGGTCCGCAGTATCCAGACCGACGCATTCGAACGGACGTGACTTGACGACTCGTTCTTTGGGCAGACTTGGTTGCTCAGTGTACTTGCAAGTTAAATAATTGACTTTCTGACAGGCTATGCATTCTCTCATTGCTCCGTCACTTGTGGTCGCAACTGTGTCACCCAAAACTTACGTCTTATGATAGACATGGTGGGGTTGATCCGTTGGTGGCCATTGACATGGCTCTGTTGTATAATGAGACTCGCAAGAGTGTTCTTTTAAATAGGCAAGATAGGATATTTGCTTCACCCCCCTCCCCCCATTTTGCTTTTTCCTGATCGAGCGATGTATCGCATGATGCCTGCGCTGTCTGTGTGCACGTTCAAATTGCAGAGCTTTCGCAGTACTGCTGGTCTAATCCAAGTCTGCTGATAAGAATGGAGGACTTTCCCCCGTACTTTCCCAGAAGTGCGGTCAAACTCTATAAGTTGTGCTGAGATGTTGACTTGGCTTTTTTTGTTGGCCTGAACCTTTGACACAATAAGTCGAATGAATCGTCTGACATATACTAGGATCTTTTTCGTTTTCGTAAACGTTGCAGTTGTCTATTTGAAATGACAGTTAACTACTGGGATTGCATGTGCCGTAGTTGCTGCATTAATTTCCAGGACTCATTCAATTTACTTCATAACGTTCTCGTTGGACAAAGCCACGACAACGGAGTTGTTCTTCAGCTGCAGCAGTTCGACCATGGATTTGTGCAAAAAAAAGTTGGACCATTCATCTACATATAAATCTTGTATAAGCCTCTCTTCGCGCAGTCCGCATGATTTTGACTTGATGGAACATAGAGGAAGTAGATTCGTGTCCTGTTGACTTCAAGTGTTCAACGACTTCTGATTTCCTTGGGCCGATGTTAATCAGTACTGCTCCCTCTTTCTTGTCGGGATTTTAAGTCCGATAAATTGATTGATTAATCAATTAATCGTTTAATTTGTACCATAAGGTGTGCCTTACATTGGTATATTTCAACATGCATTAATACTCGATATTTATACTAAACGTTAAGAACACAGAGGGAAGGAGCACAAGCTATTCATACTATTTCCTGAGAAAGGGAGAAGGGTTGTATTAGGTTGTCCGGAAAGTTCTCAGCGTTTTGGGTGTTCCACTTTAAAGGATCGTAACTTTTTTAATACTCATCGGATTTAATCGAAATAGGCACCATTAGAATCAGCACACTTTTGCCAATGTGACAGCAGTCGAGAAATGCCATCAAAATGAAAAATTGGGTGGTCGAAAATTAACGAATTCCACTAAGGCTTTTTTGCCTGGTCCTGATTGATGAAGTAGTTTCCAGCAATGGAGTTCTGAAAATGTTAAAAAAGGTGATAGTCGGTTCGCGAAAGGTCTGAAGAATATGGCGGTTGAGTTAGAACTTGAACCCCCAATTCGTTCAATTTATGGATAGTGGTTTGTGAAACGTGTGAGCGGGCGTTGTCATGCAAAGGAATCGGACCCTTTCTTTTGATAAGTGCTGGCTGTATCCTGACAAAATTTTTCGGTACAAATCGTCGATTCTTTCACGTAGGGTTCTGCTGTGATGGTTTGGCCTGGTGATAAAAAGTTATAGTGGATCACACCAGCCGATGACCACCAAGCCGTGAACCAGAATCTTTTTTTCGTGAGGGTTCGGCCTTTGAAAATTACCTCGGTGGTTGGTTGGCATCAAACCACTGTCCGAACGTCTCCTTTATCATACATGACCCATTTTTCATCACAGGTGACAATTCGCCCAAAAACAGGTCCTTTCTGCTGGCGCAAAAGCAATGCAGAAGGAACCTCGAGACGTGCCGATTCCTGCCGGTCACTCCTATTGCGGGGCACCCAATTGTCGAGTTTTTTTCACCTTCCCAATGCGCTCCAGACCATCTGCAACAGTGGATTTGCCAAGGCCTAGCTCTTCTGCTATCTCTCGAACTGTTTTGGATGGGTCAGCCTCCAAAATCCCCCTAAAATCCTCGTCAGATACTGCTTTAGGTCGACCCCTATGAGGTTCATCTTCAAGGTTGAAATCTCCAGCACGAAATTTGTTGAGCCATTGCCGCATGGTGCTTTCTCTAGCCACTATTGGGCCCCCACACCTGGTTAATTTGTCGAGCTGTTTCGATTGCGGATTGCCCCAATTTATAGATCGAAGAAAAAAATCGTCCAAAGTGCTCTTTTCACATCCTTGAAAAAAAATCTTGAAAAAAGGGAGTTTATCAAGCAATGGTGAAACGACAATTAAACCATCAGATAGCGCAAGAAATTCTCTAAAGGATGGTGCTACTGAGAAGCAAGGCAGAATGAGTTTTTAATCAGCAGTGAATGTACAAAAAATAGGTGCACAAAACGCTGAGAACTTTCGGACAACCTAATAGTTGAATAGAATTTTTGAATGCTTATGTAGTCCTCTTCTATTGACAGAAGAGCAGCGCTGCGAGATCAACCTTCCGTACCTAGAACGCAAGATCGTCCGATGCTGGGCCTGCTGACGTTTGCGCCTGAACGAACGCATCCATTTCGAAGACCCTAGGCGAACACGCGGGGACCTCAAGCAGAGGGTTTCATCTTACTCTACTATTCGAGGCTAACCACTTACTTTAGACTCATTTGAGGATCATCAGACTACCGTAGAACAAGTAATCAGTGTAATCAGTTCGAAAAAATATTCTCAGAGTTTTATTCAGAGTAGGCAGCGTTCCTCCTTACAGGTGTGGTCAAAACATGAATATTGATGATGCGTAATTATGTTATAACGTAATTATATTTTTGACTCCACGAGGGAAATGATTATTAATTAATGCGCCAATTACACGCATTGCCAACGTTACAGCATTTAAGCCCACTTTCGCGATGGTCAGGGAAGACTGTATAGGTGGAATTTTTCTCGTGCCGTTACGAGATTTGCAGAAGAATTAGAGCACATGTATGCGCAAAGGCCTATGCCCTCTCGGAGGGGCTCTCTGCGGAGGTCCCTCATGGACTCCACTAAGCCCATCCATACCTTTTTTCATCCCTGGAATGGTTCCTCCCACGTGTAATTACTCTTACAAGTGACTGGATGAATACCTTGGTTTTATAAGTGGTGTCATCCACCCCAATGGGTCGTAAATGGATGTAACTGAGCTTGCGACGGTCTTTTGTTGGTGGAGTATTCACTTCAATCGAGATTGCTATTTGGACTTGTTCGTGGAGAAACCCCTTTTGATATCAATTACTTTCAAATGTCTGTTCTTAGACCATTCTGCAGTGGCCGTGCCGTGCAGCAATGGACTCGCGAGAGACAAACGCACATCCATAGATAAGTCTCGGAACATCTGTATAACTTGTTCGTACTTTCGGGCTGCTTCGTCTACAATGTCTGCTGTCAAAAGCAGATTGTCTTCATATAAATTATTCTTGATCTTTTCCACGAGTCTTTCGTATAAGAATTCAAATGAACGTGTGTTGTGGCCGTCAGCAGGAAAGATGAACTGTAAAGGCGAAGGTAACTCTTAATAATGAGGAGTACGGATCTTCTCTTAAGCTGGTGGCCTATTGCGATTGTACAATCAAAGACATCTTGTTGCATTCCTGTCAGTCTTTAACTGTTGTAGAAATGCTTTTCTGACCTTAATCGTGATGTCTATTTTCCTGTTCGGAAGCGTAAGAATCCCCCCAGAAAAGAGTGGAAAAATAACTGATCCATGGAAGGATTTGGTTGAGAGAAATACAACCCTCATAGTGGGCTGAAGCATGAAAACGCTCAGCTTTGTTTTAACTTATTCGGAGTAAGAACTGCATGGTGCGGTGTATGTTGGATCAATGAGCCAGTTGCCGTTGCCTGCTTAGGGAGGCTTTCCACAGTATTCAGTCGTAGTTGTTGCTCGATTACTATGCTTCTGTAGCAGCTCTTGATTAGGTAGCAGAGAATTCCAGGTATTGACTAGTCCTCGCAGAGCTATGGCTTTGTTATCTGGTAGGGTTACCCAATTTTTTTCTCCATATGAGACGGACATAATAGCTGTCACCCCCATCTTCTATTGTCTCTTTATTCGTGAGTTCCTTTATTTTTGAGTGTCCTCTAGCGATCCCAGTTCTTCTATTCTGTGGTGTCCTCTGGTGATCCCAGTTCTTCTATTCTGTGAAACAGTCGATACCTCCCTAGTGTTGGCTCGATCCTGCAGTAACCAGTATTTGTCCTGTTTTCGAGGTTCACTGGAAGACTCTACCTCCAGGACTTGATAGGTGTGATGGTTGCCCCTGCTACGGGACTGATTGTTTTGTGGCAGAAATCGAATTCCTGAGAGAAGTAACGAGTGGTTGGTCTGTTCTCCAAAGTTTTCACACTTAATCGCAGCCAAGAAGTAGCAGTAGCTGCACTACCTTTTCCTTCCATTTACAATGAACCAGAATATGCAGGGACTTCAGAGAATTCTGCATCTTCTTGAATGGGGAAGAGCGCAGTGGCTTTCAGAACCTCGCGTGTGACTAACTCTAGTTCGTGGTATCTTCTCTCGACATCCTGAACTTCTACGATGCCGCTCTTCTTCTTCTGAAATTCTTCAAAACCGATCGTATGCAGAAAAAGCGTTTTCTCCGAAGCAGTTTCGAGTTCAAGCTTATCGCCTAGTGCTCTGTCGATGGACGAAATCTCTGTGCCTGTGTCTAGAAGTACCGGAATCTGCGAAGTTCGTCTCTCTTCTTGTCCATAATCAGTGACATCGGGTAGTGCTGGATTTCCTGCGCTGATTGGCCTTAAGGAATGAGTATCTTGTTTTCTTTCATTTGCTCTTCTTCAGCCAATACCTTGACCTCTTGATCCTCTTGGGTTGTTTCTTCTCCTAAATATCAGTTCGCATTGGGTCTACCGCTAGCTACTGCAACTCCTGCGCGTGCTCGACATTGAAGTAGTCTTGAAGCGGCATGCTGAGTGATGAGATCATCCGCATCAAAAACATTTTTATATTTGCATTCTGATGTATTGTGCTGGGGTGAAGCGCAAAATTGGCGAAGTCGTTGATCTCGTAAGCACTTCGGCCTTTCTCTCGGAGTCTTGTATATATTGCAACGAAATTACTTGTGTGCCTTCACGACTGTCGCGGAGACTGGCCTGCTGTCAAAACCCCTTTGCAGACGTGGTCTGCGACGTGGACAAGGGTTCGTTGATGTAGACGTTAATAATTTCTTCCTTGGACAAGACGTCTTCAACTATGTTGGACAGCGTTTCCATTGCAGATGACGTTGCTGATGGAAACAGGCGCCTTTTCGTCAGCACTCTCCACCGAATGTGTACAGAAAACTTGTTGAACACTTCCTTGACCATCACTTGACTGCTTACACGTTTCATTTTGGTTTCAGTTGTAGGACTGTTACTTGCACTTGTTCGGAAAGCCTGCGCTGGTCCTTAAGGGATCCACTTCGTAAAAATAATGGTCAAGTTAAAGAATAGTTCCTGGACCAGTTCCTCAGGTTGCCGTAACAAGCGTGAAAAACTCCATTGCATGGGAGTAGTTTTCAGAGGTAACATTCTTTCCAGACTCTATAGCCTCCCCCTTAGGGGCCTTGGATAAATAATTGAAATTGAAGAGTTCATGTAAATACCTCAAATGAACGTTAATATTAAGTATCTCCAGAAGTTTTCAAAGTGCTAAGTGTCGCCAGTGAATTTCTGAAAAGGAAGCGGCGGAAGTTCGGCTTCTTCGTCTGCTCGATTGTGTAGGACACTGAGAGGCGCCTTTTTTTGAGGTGGCTGCTGTAATCTAAATGTTTCGTTTTCAATGCGTTTATATTAGCTTGTGAGAGCGCACCGTAGTCTACAGCAAGAGCGAGAGATTCTTCTGCGCGAACCACATTCCACATATTGGTCTATCAAGCTCGGGTCCACCTTACATCCCTGTTTGCTAAGCGAGACAAGTCTCGCGATGCCTTCCACTTGGCACTTTGTTGATTCTGTTGCGCCTGCCGCTCCTTTCAGGCGACGTAGATTGCTTGGGTTAAATCTCTGGAGTGGTCTGCAGTGAAAATTTGCACTGAACCAAGCCATTGTTTTTAATGCTCCCCAGTACTTGCTCGAGTTTATTGCAGAAGCGCGTTATAAGGCCCTTAGCTGCTGTAAGCTCAATAACCATTTTGACTTGCAGTGTGACCCTCGCTGAGTACTTATACGTCTAAATTTGGTCCAAGATGCTCAAAATTTATCCTCACTGGATTTTGATCCTAGGACATGACTTATATAAGGTCAAAAAGGAATAGGGAATTCTAAAGCTCGAAAATCTCAAAGGCAGTTGGCACGATGGTTTCCTATTTAGCCTAAAATGCTAGTGGTGCGCTGTATAGTGAGGAAATGGTGAAAGAACGGAGTGAAACGGTCAAAATCCTGCGAAGAAAGAGCCTCCGTTCTCAATGTGTGAAATCGATTTTGGACGAGTTTCCTGTAGGCATCTTGTCAATCACCGCTAACGAAGATACGGCTGCAGAGGTGTACCCATATATGCATGCGGCATCGCGGCCGCTTCATACCAATCCCTTCGCTCATAATTTGCTTAGCAAACGTCAAGAACGGTCGTCCATTTGTGGACGGGCGGGCGCGGTGGGCCTTCGGGACGTAATGTTCAGGCTTGATAGGGCCCTTTTAAGGGCACCTCCCTCGGGGAAACCGCTATGCAGCGCCTGCCCAAGGTCGCGGAATTCTATCCTGCTAGCAGTATTGATCCTAGTCGTCTTGGGGGTTTATCGTGCCAACTCCCTTTGAGCGGACTCGAGTTCGCTGTGCACTTCGCTCCGATGCACCATGTGTTGAGTTTTTCGTGCCACGCGGAATGTATGTGGGTGGCAAAACCAACACCAGAACAGAATTCATCGAACGACACCTAGAACTTGGGTAATTAAACAAAAGAAAACAAATATTAAAATGGAATGCTGGATGGGCACTCCGATGGCCTTTTATAGGCGGTCTTCTCGATTGATGGTAGATCAACTGCTGAGGTCGCACCTTTGATCTCTATCCGCGACAGTCCTCTTGTGAGAAATAAGGTCATGAGATAAAAAAGAAGGTATCAATTACCAGAAGTGAAGTATTTCTTACGGAATCGTCCAAATTGGCTCCATTCCTTTGGAAGTGTTATGTCGCGGTATCGTCAAGCACGAGAATTGTGCGAAAGTGATTTACAACGCTATAGACCATTACCGAAAAAATACAGGGAATACATGCATAAAGTGTTCAGACCGCCGACCATGCAGAAGTACCATTCGGCTTCGTTGCCCCTGTCGAGGAAACTAAGCACCGCAGTCGTGTTGAGTGTGAGTATACTCGCCCTACATATAACACAGCAGATAAGAAAGAATAATTCGTAATCTCCGTCCAAAACCCTCTCTTATTCGGTATACATCTAACTTCATATAGCCACTTCGACTGTTAAGTCTTCCCTTGTGGCAAGACCCATTTTCTCAAAATAATGGGTGATTATACGGCAGAAAAACACCTGCAAGAGAAGACCCTCTTCTGATTATAACTTGATAGAGGTTTGGTGCCCTTTATATTTCAAGACACAGTTTGCGTCTTCCTTATTTCGACTGAGTTCCCGCTAATCTTATAGGTATACAACATAGAAAAATGCGAGAAGACTGTTTGAAAAAGCGCGACTTTGGGATCTGTTTTTTGTCACTGTATGTGTTCTGAAAAGCCGATTGAAGACATATATTCAAGGCTCCGTTTCGTCAACGGAAAGAGAAAGTAAAGCGAGAAGAGGTGGAGAGACGGGTACGAGAAGATCAGGAGAAATATTCTGACAAATTCAGTGAGTCTGCTCGGACCCTTTGCCGGTAAGGTCTTGCCATTGTTTTCTGTCTACTCTTGAATATTTCCCCATTGGCTGTTTGGGTTATTTGACTTTATCTTCCTCTAATCTGTCGTGTAAGTTCAGTATAAGGTTGGACTGTTAAATAAGAGAAAAAGGGTGTTTTCACTACACTCCAACGGAATGTAGTTGAAATCCAATTTGGAGAAAGTGAAGAGTGAAGCTATGAAAGTAACTCGAAGGGATATGAGGGAGCTCGTACTGAAGGAAGATTGTGTGCAAAGTGAGGCGGTCGTTAGCGTCGCGATTTTCCATTTTGCCATGGGGAACCTGGATCATTGGTGAAGACTTTATCAAGCCCAATCTGTAGCAGCAGGCTTCAATCTCAATTGAAGTATTATGTAATAGAAAGCAGCCCAATGTCACGTCTTTCTCCGCTTCTTCTGGCGCATTTGGCAGTCATTAGCAGTCTTAGTACACACGCTGTTTTTCTGGTATTCTCATGTTTTTTTTTCTCACCAAATAAATCACGTTTCGTTGTTATATGTCTAGATATCTGCCACGAAGCACTTTGCGACCCGAGAAAAGTTGGAAGCAGAGCCTCGCCGCTGCTCATCCTCTGAAAATTCCCCTTTCGTATTTTTCAAAATATCGTCCGTCTTTGGAACCGACTGCAAGGATGATGTAAAGAGGAAACCTGAATGTCCACAGTCAGTCAAAATTTGAAGGTCCTTCCCATCAGCGAAAAGGAAATTGCCAGAAGTGACAGCGTCGACATGACGAGTCTGACTTCGAGCATTGTTCAAGGGATACTAAAGTATTTCGCGGAATGTTTCTTACAAGAGAGGTCGTACAGGATGTGGTGAGCGGTTGCATGATGTAGGGGTCCCTTCATGGATCTTTCATTTTTACTAAATGCTACTGGGATGCCAAAAAAGGACAAAAACGAAAAAGTTGAG